AGCCTAAATTTGAATCTCTACCTCTGGTCCCCAGCGCTCCTAATTCTGCTCTCTGGGGACAAACAGAACAAATCTAATCCTTTTTCTACATAAGCTACTTCAAATATTTGAGAACTACAACCGTGTCCCCCTCCCCCAAAGTCTTTGCTTGTTAGGCTGAACATTCTTATTTTATTCAATCAATCATTATATAGAATAAGTTGAAGAACTTCTAGCATCCTGACAATTTTCCTTTCATTATCTACAACAAATCAATATCCTTCCTAAAACATGGACTAAGAAGTGAAGACAATACTTCAGATGTGGTCTGAACAAGGTAGATAGAGTATAGAACCTCCCAGATTCTGGATAACGGTGACTCTCTCAATGCAGCCCTAGTTTTATCTTTTTGACCACCATTTCATACAGTTGATTCACATCAAGCTTGCAGTTTACTAAAACCTCTAGATCTTTTAACAGACAAATTGGTGTCTCACCATACTTCCCACATCTTGTACTTGAGAAGCTGATATTTTGGAATCCAAATGTAAGATGTTATATTTCTTTCCTATTAAATTTCATTTTATTTTGTTTGGTCCAATATTAGATAGCTGATACATTTTTGGATCCTGATTCTATATTTGAGTGTATCAGATATCTTTCCCAGCTTTATGTCATCTGCAGATTTTATAAGTATGCCATCTATGACCTTCTTCAATTCATCATAGAATCTTTCTATTCCTTTAAGATGCAGCTTTGGTGCCATCTTCTTCCTGAAGCTTTTCCTGATCTGAACTGATGGTATCTCCTTCCCAATCTACCTTGTATTTAACTACTCTGAGATATATATATATATATATATATGTACATATGTATGTATATGTATATGTATATGTATATACACAAGTGTAGTGAGGTGTTCAAAGAGTGCTAGCACCTCCCATATGAGGAATTGCTGAACCCTTTTCATGGCTGCTCAGCCACCTTTGGTGTCCACTGGCCATCCAATTCTTACCTGTGGTTCCAAGAAGCTGTAACATGCATAGTGGCTATACCCTTGTAAAACCGTCTTGGCAGACAAGCTAAAACAGGCTGAGGGTAACTTACAGGCCTCAAACTCATCAGTGAATTAGGGGTATATCCACCCTAAGCATGTGAAGATTTTTCCTGGTAGAATGGGTGGAAAAGAACAATGTGTTCCAATGGTTATGAAGGCAGCTGAAACAAGTACTGTGAAGTGCTTAGAGCTTGGTTAGACATCAAAGATGCAGAGGTCATTCACCACATCCTGGGCCATCGCTAGTCTTCCTGACTTTTGTCCTGTCCCTGGATTTCAATGACTCGAAAAATGAGGCTGACTAATTTGTGCAACTCTGCTTCACTTAAATATGTATGTACATACATATACATATATATGTAAACACATGTGTATACATATATATGTGTTAACTTTACATTCATGCCGTATATATTTTTGTATGGACTTGTCTCCCACATTAGGATCTAAGCTCATTACTAGTAGGGAATATTTTATCCTTTGTACCTATATTCCCTGTGTATAGAATAATGCCTGGCACATAGTAGGTACTTAATAAATATTTGTTGGTTGATTAAATGCTAAACTGCATAGAGTCAAACATAATTCTATGGGGAATTTCACTAAAAACCCTCTTCCAAATTGCTATTGACTCATTAATGACCACTCTTTGGTTCCAGTTAATCAACCAGTTACAAATCTATTTTTCTTTCTAGCCCATATCTTTCCACCTTTTCCACAAAAATATGAAAGACTTTGTCAAATGTTTTGCCAAACACCTAAGTAAAGTATGTCTGTAGTACAGCATTCCCCTAATTTATGCTCAATAACCCTATCAAAAAAAAGTATTACTAGATGAAAGAGCTGGAAAGGTCCTTGAAGGTCATTTTGTCCAGTGCTCTCCTTTTGCAGATGAGGACACTGAGACCAACAGATGTTAAGTAACTTTTCCAAAGTTGAATGGGAAGTAAATGACAAAGCAAAGATTTAAATTTGGGTCCTCTGACTGCAAATCCAAATCACTCAACATGGTGATTATACTCAAAACCAAGAAGAATGGAGAAAAGTGCCAGGAAGGCAGATTCTGGCTTTATATAAGGAAGAATTTCCTAGGAACCAGGGCTCCCTAAAAATTGAATGGATTACTTCATGAAATAGTGAATTTCCTTCACTATACGTGCTCAAACAGAGGCTAAATGAAGATGAGTTGGGGATGTTATATATTCAATCAACCAATTAACAAGCATTTATTAAGTACTTGCTGTTCTAGACTAAGTGCTAAGCACTGGGAATATAAAGAAAGGCAAAAATAGTCCCCAATCTCAAGAAGCTTAAGTTATAATGAGGGTGACAATGTGTAAATAAATGAGTACGTACAAGATGCATACAGAGTAGGTGGAATGCAATGAGAGGGGAAGTCTCATCTGAGAGGATAGGAGAGACCTTCTGAAGAAGATGGCATTAGACATGAGGTGTGATTTTTTTTTTTTTTGGTGCCAAAGCTGATCACTGGGTGACCTTACAGACTTGAGAGGAAAAGTGATTCTTTAGCCCTAAAATTTGATATAGTGATGAGTAATTGTTTGTATTATATGATGGATAAGGTCCTTCCTGATTCTAGGATTCTATGACTCCATCAACAAGTGTTTCTTTCCATTAGAAACAAATCCTATATAGAAATGAAACCCATCTGGTGTCCTGAAGTTCAAATATAACTTTCTTTCTTCCTTTTTTTCCTCCACTCCTATTTCCTCATTCCTTTTCTGTTACCTATCTGTTCTTTCCCTACTCCCTTCTCTTTTCTGACCTAGGTATTGCCCTGTTTCCCATTCTTTTCTCTTAGTTCATTTTTCCTCTTCTACCTTTCTTACTTGGAAGTAATGTGGATGGTAATTAGAGCTTGACTTTGCTGCTACCTCTGATTCTAAAGAAGAGCTCACGTATTCATCCAGAGATCTTCCACCCCTTTCCTAATCAGACACATAGGGTAAAAGAAAACATTTCACTCTGACCATGTTGCTTTTCCTGACTTCCAAGGTTCTTAATTCTAGATTTCTTGGGCATTATAAATAGATGCAAATAGCTCCATTCTACAGAATGAAAAGAAAGTTTAACTCTGACTGAGAATTGTTTAATAGTTATCACATTTCTGTTGGTACTATGACCAATGTTGAAAACCATACCCATGTCATTCAGGCCACTTGGTGCCTATGAGGTTATGGTATAGCAGATTAACTTAATTAGGTCAACACCAAAACTTTCACATACATATAAAACTTGAACATTTTCCTCCTATCATCTGAGCATTGAAAATGAGATTTAATTCTCAGAAGTATGAAGTAGCCTATAGAAAAATAGGCATACCACTGTCTTCACTAATTATTGTCAGCACCTCTGATGCTGATTGCACAATGGCAGCACAGGGTCTGGCTGGGCTCACAAGTTGATTATTTGATTATATATCAGCAGCTCTCATGGCCAATTATTTTTTTTTTTGTTTTTGTTTTTGTTTTTTGGGGCAGAGATCACCCATGCAGTTGCAATGGACAGTGTTAAGCAATCTGAGGCAAGGTTACATTGAGAAAGTCTTTGCCTATTAGCAGGCCTCAGGTCAGTGGTACTTGTCCATTCACCTTAGGATAGGAACTATATGAGTCAGCAGATTGGTCTCACCAGCAGCTTCTTAGCCTCTGTTTATTTGGTTGTTTCAGTGACTGTGGTTACTCAGTGCATTGATCAGGGATGGGCAACCTATGGCCTCAAAGCCACATGTGGCCCTCTAGGTCCTCAAGTGCAGCCTTTTGACTGAATCCAAACCTCAAAGAACAAGTCCCCTTAATAAAAGGATTTGTTCTGTAAAACTTGGTCTAAATCATAAAGCTGCACTTGAGGACCTAGAAGGCCACATGTGGCCTCAAGGCTGCAGATTCCCCACCCCTGGTATTGACATTAAGCCTAATGTGCAATGTGATTCTCTGATACAACATAGAACTTGCAGGCTATCATCTGTATGCCTGTGGGGGACTAGCCCCTTCTACCCTTGGAGTATGAGTTTCAAGTGTCCTGCCTTTGGGTCAGGGTCATTGATCATAGGACTTGTTGTTATTGTTGTTTAGTAGTTTTCGGTTGAATCTGACTCTTTGTGACCCCTTTTGGGGTTTTCTTGGCAAAGATACTGGAGTGGTTTGCCATTTCTTTCTCCAACTCATTTTACAGATGAGGAAACTGAGGCAAACAGGGTTAAGTGACTTACTTAAGGTCACATAGATAGTAAGTGTCTGAGGCCAGAATTGAACTCAATTCACCCTGACTCTAGGCATGGTGCTTTATCTGCTTCGCCAGGTAGCAAGTAGCAAGAGGTTACTGAGGTTTCCTTCTGGTCTTCAGAAGTTCTCAGGATCGGTGGACCTTTGGCAGTATACCTCAATCATCAAAGCCTCTAGCAGACTGACAGACCATATCGATTCTTGGCTCATAGATTCCCTTTTATCTGAGAATTGGTAGGGAGATTATTCTGGGATCAAAGTTTTAGGTCTAGATATCATCTAGTTCAACCGCCTCATTTTATAGGTAAGGATCCAGTCCCTTCCATCTCTTGACCCCACAGAAGTTAAACGATATGCCCAAGGTTATCCATGTAGCAATGACCAAGCTAGGATTTATCCCATCTCTGACTCTCACTCCAATGTTGTTTCTTTTATTTACTTTTTTATTCCAAATTTAATAAACACAAACTAAAATGAGCATTTCCATATGCAAAATAGAACAGAGAAAGAGGATGATACATGAAATTGCAAAGCTTTATTACATATAGCTCAATTTTCCCTTTAAGTATATAAAGTATTATGAAGTTTCCTTTCATTTCTTACTCTCCTCTCCTTTCCTCTCCTCTCCACTCCTCTCCTTTCCTTTCCTTTTTTATATTTTATTGGTGACCATGATGTTTGGTCCCCTCTCCCTCCCACCTCCCATCCCCAATGGAAAAAAAATACAAAAATATGTGGAGTTAAGTACAAAAAATCCCTACTTTATCCGTGTCTGAAAATGTCTGCCTCGCTCTCCACCTTAGGTCCATGCTCTCTCTGTCAGAGCTGCTTCATCACTGATCCTCTGGAATCACAGTTGGTCATTGCATCCTGTGCTCTTTCTATTCACCACACACTGTGGTGGAAGTGGGCCAGCCCGCTGACCAGGATGCTTTCTTATTTATCTTCATATCTTCCTCAGCAGCTGGCACAGCGTCTTTTACCTAGTAGACATTTAATAGATCCCTGTTGAATGAATGAGAGATTGACTAAATTCCACATGTTATAGTAAAGCTCCCGGATTCCCAATCCTCTCCACCCCTGTTTGGATTCTAAGGGCTGCACTTGAGGACCTCCAGGCTGCAGGTTCCCCAACCCTTTCCCAAGCCATTTTAGCTCCCTTCCTCTCTACCATTTTCTTACTCCAGTTCTTAAGAAAATAAAACTGGTCAGGAGATTCTCTGAAATTCTTCCCAATTTAAATCCTGACTATCACATACTAGGAAGAATTATTTTACATCCTTGCTGCACATGACACTCAAAACACCGGACAGCTAAGCACCTACTACATGCTAGGCTTTAGGGCCACAAAGACAACGTAACCTCGGCCCTCAAAGAGCTTACATTCTATTTTAGCTGTTTTTCTCAGAGAGATGAAGACACTGAGGACTGACCTGGTATTCCCCAGGGATGTGACCGAGCAGAGCAGAGAAAGATCTTGGTACCTGAGGCTATGAGCAATCTGTTCTGATTATAAGACAGACCTGCTGGCTTTCTTGGGTGGTGATTCTAGGTGTCTGTCCAATTCCACCACAGAAAACAAACAATCATCCATCACAGACAATTTGTAGATTTTTTTTCTCATATTTTGATCCCTCCCTCCTTTATCGCACCCTTCCCCCCACCCCCTAAGTTGGCACCAATGGCTGTTGTCCTGGTTGTGGTTGTTGTATGTTGTGTGTGTGGGTGTTTGCTAGTTGTTCTTATGAGAATTTCGAGTTTTCTTTTAAACCCTGGGAGCCCCTTGCAGCCTTGCTTACCCCCCGCCCTTTCTCCCCCCTACCAAACTGCTGCTTTGGGCCTCTTAAATGTTGCAATGATGTTTTCGATCTTGTAGGGAGGAAGCAAGAGGCCTTCAGTGGGAAAGCAGAGAGGTTTCCAGTTCTCACCAAATACAGATGCTCAGGAAATGGAGCACTTATGTGGCTTGGTTGTATAAGGAACTTCTCAACTCAAATACTGAGTCCCGCGTAGGAGGCCCCGATACATTCCTCACCATCTCCCAGACAGCCTGACCCTGACTGCCACCCAGAATAATTCAGCTGCTTATCTAAGGTAGGGCCAGGCTTCCTCGTGCCTGTGGGCACATGAGGCAACCTGACTGTTCGATTGCCCAACAAATCGGTTACATAAGAGGATCTTAAGAAAGAATAAACTAATGAACAGTGAATAACCGCCTACCTTGGAGTCCCGGTCCCAGACTGACAGGTCCCGCAGACCTGGACCAAATGTAAACAGATAGGAGAGAGAAGCTGTAAAGGGGCCTTGTGGTTTCTTTAAATGGTAGTATAGAATCTCCTTAATGTTTTCTCAGACCACCCCCCCCAATCCAAGTTCTAGTTATCCTGAGTAAAAATAGAAGGAGCCTTATCATTTATTTATTTTTAGCCCTCGTTTGAACTAATTGGCAGCCCTGCAACACATACATAATACAGTGATCTTGGGGAAAATGACAGCTACCTAATTATGGATTTTTTTTTAAGAGGGCAGAAAATACCTGACCTGTTTTAAATAGTTACTTACAGTAGGCAGTCAATTTTTTTTACTTTACTTTTTCTCTCATTTGCGTGCCCACATGTTTTCTGACATGCTTGACCCTCATGGTCTATTACTGAATAATTACACAGCAGAAGTGCAATGACTCTAGGCTAGCCAATTGTGACAGTCGCCATCGGCAGCAGCCCAGGCCCAGCTGTTACATGCTGCCACTAACAGTGGGTTGGCCCGGTGTGATTCAGAGCCAGAGAGAGAGAGAGAAGACTTCTGGGATGTACGGGCTGTGCCCTTGTATCCTTCACCTTCTTTCTACATCCTTAGATGTAGAACATCTGCCGTAGGCAGTTATAACCAAAAACACACCAGGGTGTGTATCTCAAATATCTTTTTCTTTTTTTTTTAATTTATTTTTAGTTTTCAACATTCACTTCCATAAGATTTTGAGTTTTAAATTTTCTCCCCCCTCCCTCTCCACCTCCCTCCCCACCTCCCTCCCCAAGATGGCATGCAATCTGATATAGGCTCTACATATACATTCCTATTAAATATATTTTCACATTAGTCATGGTGTAAAGAAGAATTAGAACCAATAGGAGGAACCACAAGAAAGAAGAAACAAAACCAAACAGAAGGGAAAAAAAGAGCAAATAGTATGTTTTGATCTGCATTCAAACTCCATAGTTCTTTCTCTGGATGTGGATAGCATCAAATATTCTTTTCATTAAGGGTCTATTATATAATTCAATGTAATGGTGACCAAGCATTGGCTATGACTTCCTGTCCTGCCTGATAAGTTCCCCCCAAATATCCCTTACAGACTCATTTTGTTCTTAATACATGTTTCTTAAAGTAGATGCACTGAGCATCATGCATTGTCTTCTATCGAGATTCTTTTTATCTTTCTCCCTTCCCTGATTATCTATTATCTTGGTGATAGTCATATTTACTTGTTGAAACCATGGTCCTTGTGTTTCTTTTTTTAGCCTATTTAATATTTTATTTTTTCCAATTACATGTAAAAACAATTTAACATTCTTTTTTTTTCAAATTTTTATTTCCAAATTCTCTCCCTCCCTTCTCTCCCTCATTGAGAAGGCAAGCAATTTGACATGTTACACATATGTTACACATGTGCAGTCATGTAAAACACATTTCCATGTAAGTCATTCTGTGAAAGAAAACAGAAAAAAAACCCCCAAGAAAAATAAAATACAGAAAAAGTATCATTGATCTGCACTCATGCTTACTAATTTTTTTTTCTCCAGAGATTTTTCATCATAAGTCCTACAGAATTGTCTTGGATCATTGTATTGATAAGAATAGCTAAATTATTCATAGTAGATCATCATACAATTTTGCTGTTACTGTGTACAATGTTCTCCTCGTTCTGCTCACTTTACTTTGCATCGGTTCATGTAAGTCTCTCCATGTTTTTTGAGGGCATCCTGTTCATCATTTCTTAAAGCCTGAAAATATTCCATCACAATCATATACAAAAACTTGTTCAGTCATTCCCCAATTGATGGACATCCCCTCAGTTTCCAATTCTTTGACACCACTAAAAGAGCTGCTGTAAATACTTTTGTACACGTATGTCCTTCTCCTTTTCATTTTTTATCTCTTTGGGACATAGACCTGGTAGCAGTATTGCTTAGTCAAAGGGTATGCATGGTTTTATAGCCCTTTCGGCACAGTTCCACATTGTTATATAGAATGGTTGAATCAGTATACAACTTCAGCAATAGTACATTAGTGTTTTAATTTTCCCACATACCCTCCAACATTTGTCATTTTTTTTCCTGTCATATTAGCCAATCTGACAGGTATAAGGTAGGAGCTCAGAGCTGTTTTAATTTGCATTTCTCTCATCAATAGTCATTTAGAACATTTTTCATGTGACTATAGATAGCTGTTATTACTTTGTCTGAAAACTGCCTTTTCATATCCTTTGACCACTTATCAATTGAGGAATGGCTCTTATTTCTATAAACTTGACTCAGTTTTCTATGTTTGAGAAATGAAATCTTTATCAGAGAAACTCATTGTGAAATTTTTTTCACAGTAACGATTACCAACTATGCACTTCCCTTCATTCTGTCGTCCCCTTGTTTATCCTACTCTCTCCCTTTACCTTGTCTATTCTCAAAAGTGCTTTGCTTTTGACTTTTGCCTCACCCAAACTACCCTCCCTTCTATCACTACAACCTCTCACCCTTTTTTTATCTTCTTCCCTTCCTACTTTCATGTACATCAAGATAAATTTTTAAATCCAACTGAGTGTATATATTATTCCCTCTTTGAGACAATTCCAATGATAGTAAGGTTCATGAGATCCCCTAGCCCCTTCCCTCATTTTCCCCTACATTATAAAATTTCTTTCAGGTCTCTTTTTTTTTTCTTTTTTTTTCAGGCCTCTTTTATATCAGATAATTTATCCCTTTCCCCTTTCTCATCCCTTAATTTTCTTTTTTTAGATAGTCATACCATCACATTCAACTCATACCTCTACTTTCTATGTATATTCCTTCTAACTGTCCTAATGATGAGAACATTTTTAGGAGTTATAATATCATTTTCCCATGTAGGAATATAAACAGTTTAACTTTATTGAATCCCTTATGATTTCTCTTTCCTGTTTATCTTTTTATGCTTCTTTTGCATCTTGTATTGGAGAGTCAAATTTTCTATTCAGCTCTTGTCTTTTCATCAGGAATGCTTTAAAGTCCTCTCTTTCATTAAATGTTCATTTTTCCCCCTGAAGGATTATACTCAGTTTTGCTATGTAGATGACTCTTGGTTCTAATCCTAGCTCTTTTACCCTCCATAATATCATATTACAAGCCCTCTGATCCTTTAATGTAGAAGTTGCTAAATCTTGTGTTATCTTGACTGTGGCTCCATGATATTTGAATTCTTTTTGGCTGCTTGCAGTATTTTCTCCTTGATCTGGGAGCTCTGGAATTTGATGATACTATTCCTGGGAGTTTTCATTTGGGGATCTCTTTCAGGAGGTGATAAGTAGATTCTTTGTGTTTCTATTATATTCTCTGATTCTAGAATATCAGGGCAGTTTTCCTTGATAATTTCTTGAAAGATGATGTTTAGATTCTTTTTTGATCATGACTTTCAGGTAGTTCAGTAATTCTTAAATGATCTCTCCTAGATCTATTTTCCGGGTCAGTTGTTTTTCCACTGAGATATTGTAGATTATCTTCTATTTTTTCATTCTTTTGATTTTGTTTGATTGTTTCTTGATTTTTCATAAAGTCATTAACTTCCACTTGCCCAATTCTAACTTTTAAGGAATTATTTTCTTTGGCACTTCCTTTTCCATTTGGTCAATTCAACTTTTTAAGGAGTTCTTCTCTTCAGTGAATTTTTGTTTATCTTTTTCCATTTGTCCAATTCTGTTTTTCAAGGCATTCATCTCTTAATTGTATTTTTGTGCCTCTTTTACTGTTTGGCATCTTGTATTTTTGAAGGTGTTATTTTCTTCAGTATTTTTTGTGCCTCCTTTACCAAGCTGTTGACTCTTTTTTTCATGATTTTCTTACATCATTCTCATTTCTCTTCCCAATTTTTCCTCTACCTCTCTCACTTGATTTTTAAAATCCTTTTTGAGCTCTTCCATGGCTTGAGACCAATTCGTATTTTTCTTGGAGGCTTTGGATGCAGGAATTTTGACTTTGCTGTATTCTTCTGAGTGTGCGTTTTGATTTTCCTTGTCACTGTATTAACTTTCTGTGGTCAGATGTTTTTTTCCTGTTGTTTGCTGATTTTCCAGCCTATTTCTTGACTTTGGACTTTATGTTAAAGTGGGGCTCTGTTTTCCAAGTGGACGAAGCACTCTCCCAAGCTTCAGATTTTTTGTGCAGTTGTTTTCAGAGGTAATTCTGGGAACCTGTAAGCTTTTGGCTCTTCAAGGTGGTGTGATCTAGGAAGAGGTGTGTTTACTATTCTCCTGTACTGTGCACTGGTTTGTGAATGACCACAAGCACTTTTTTCAACCCTGAAACTGTGGTGAGAGTCTCTGTTCCCTTGTGGCCACTAGCTGTGCTGTGTAATGCTCCTCCTTGTACTGGGACTAAGACCCAGGACTATGATCCAGTCCAAGTACAGACAATGCAACAGAGTCCTGCCCCTGGTACCAGCAAAGGGACCCCTATAAATCTCCTTCTGATCCATTGTCTAATCCCCTTGCTGTCTGTGAGCTGAGAGGTCTGGAAACCACCACAGCTGCCACTGATTTAGTCTCCCTGAGACCTGCTCCTGGTTTGTTGGGGGTTGGTCTGCTCTGGTAAGGCTTTTGTTGAACTGTGCTCCTCTCTCATCCTGGTATAACAGATCTTTCTTGCCAACCTTCTAAGTTGTCCTGGGCTGAAAAATTGTTTCATCCATCTTTTGTGTGTTCTGCCACTCTAGAATTTGTTTAGAGTCATCATTTAAAGGTTTTTGGAGGGGTCTGGGGGAGAGCTCAGGCAGTCCCTGCCTTTACTCCACCATCTTGGCTCTGCCTACTT